AATATGAAGAAGGATAATTTAGTAGAGGAGAACTATAGTATAGCTTCATATCTGTTTTGGAATATTACACTGCCATCTTCTGGTTATATTCCACTTGATAATGAGAAATAAAATCTGTCACTATCTCCATTTCTTTCCCATCTATTTGCCAGGAATTGAGAGGGCCAGATGTCATGACCCTAGTTTGCTTAATGTTGAGTTTCAAGCCAACTTTTGCATTCTCCTTCTTCACCCGCTTCAAGAGGTTCTTTAGTTCCTCTTCACTTTCTGCCATTAGAGTGGTATCATCTGCATATCTGAGGTTGTTATTTCTCATTATCAAGTGGAATATAACCAGAAGATGGCAGTGTAATATTCCAAAACAGATATGAAGCTATACTATAGTTCTCCTCTACTAAATTATCCTTCTTCATATTTTTAGTGACTAGCTGGCTTCTGTACCTGTGGAAATGATTTCAGATGCTCTCTGATATCTGTGATATCCTGTGCTTTTTGGTTCAGAATTTGCCACAATAGTAGTATAGAGTTGGCCGATCCTACCTCCTCCATTGTCTCAAATTGAGACAATTCAAATTCAGGAATATTTATCGCATTTGTTTCAGAATTCTATGCAAATTCTAGACAGACCTCACATGGATCCTTAGTTGACACAGGACAATGTTGAGCTTCTTTGTTACAGGTAGTACTCGACCTACAATAGTTCACTTAGTGACCGTTAAAGTTTAGGGTAAGTAAGTAAGTCAAGTAAGTAAATAAGTCAACGAAGTTGAACTAAGTCAATGGCACTGAGAAAAGTGACTTATGGCCATTTTTCACACTTACGACCGTTGTAGCATCCCCATGGTTACATGATTTACATTTGGATGCTTGACAACTGATTCATATTTACAACGGTTGCAGTGTCCTGGGGTCATGTGATCCCTTTTGCGACCTTCTGGCAAGCAAAGTCAGTGGGGGGAACCAGATTCACTTAACGACCATGCTGCTTATTTAACAACTGCAGTGATTCACTTGACAAATGTGGCAAGAAAATTCATAAAATGGGACAAACTCACTTAACAAATGTTTCAAATTTGTTAATGTTTCAAATTTAGCAATATAAACTTTGGACTCCATTGTGGTCCTAACTTGAGGACTACCTGTGCCTTGTTCTACTGTAGCTCGGGTGTAAGATGAGAGTGAAGGTTCATTCTCCAAGCTTGTGAGTTGATTTCCGAACATTTCGCTACCAGGGTAGGTAATAACTTCAGCGGAGTTTAGGGGATGTCAGTATCGGTGTTCTTCTGTTTATAAGGGCTTCAGGTGTGGGTGTGTCAAGTGAGGGTCTTGTGATGGGTCTTGTGAGGGGCCAGGTGTGAGTCATCAGTGAGAATTTTGTGATGGGTTTTGTGATAGGGAGGTTACATCAGGTCAGGATCATTGGGAGGTGAACTGCTGGTGGTGGGAGGAGGGTAGCAAGTTTGTTTGGTTGTTAGTTTACAGATGATGTGTTATTACCCAAGTAGGTTACATCTGATGAGAGCACCAAGGACTCTACAGTTCAGCCCTGAGCTACATATATTCTCTTCTGTAAATGTCAATGTGGTTTCTCAGTCATTCAGGTCATGGTTGTCCCAAAAGTACTTTTTTCAAGAGGCAATTGGACTTTCTGGTTTTTCTTTGAAGACATTTCTCTTCTCATCCCAGAAGCTTCTTAGGAGTCTCTTCTGTAGGATTTTTGTTCCTCTTGTCTATAAATTTGGGTAAAAGATTGTTCAGGGACCACCTCACCAAGATCCCACCTAATCAGTCAATCTTTCCTCTTGGTCTTCTTTTATTCCCTACTCTCTTTGAATTAAACTTAAATAGATTTCAGATTTTACGACTAAGTGATATGAAATTTAACTACAGGAGTTCTTTTTATCTATGAAAAAATGCCAAGGAAAACAGTGAAGATACTGACATTCCCTGGTGTCACAGAGAGATGTTTAATACAAGCGAACGCTAGTTTATTTAAACAGAGAAACTTAAACAATTCACAGTCTGTAGAAAAATTGTTAATGCAAGTTATTTTCTTTAGCTATAAAATAAGGGTTGTAATTTTAATATTTAATTGTCTTGTTACCATCTGGAAAGCAACTTTAACCACTTGCTGAAATAGAGAATATTTCTAATAAAATTTTCCATCAAACAAGAGTTTGCTTATTTATATTTAATGATATCCTGTCTTTCCACTTAAAACAGTATTCATGGTTGAGATTTCTGTAATATTGCATGATTATTTTCACATATTGCCAAGGTTTTATATCTCTTTTTATATTCAAATAACATGAGCAGAAGTGGGAAGAATTGAGTGCCAGGCACCATATAATTTGCCTGTGAACAAAAAATAGTGTTAGTCATTGCATGTGACAGGATGATATTAGATCTATACATCTGGTAATTTTTAAAATATTTCATGAATCCAGATTTCTGTGGGAGAAGGAATACTTAGCTATTCCTCTTGAAATGTTGACATTTTGCCTTATCCTGCTTCCCCTTCTTCAAAATTAGATGTTTACATTCTTGCAAAGCTCAACATTTTGTCAAACGGCAAAGTTAGGTTATTTTCATTTTATAGAAGACAGTTTTTATCGAGATGATCTGAACTAACATATATAGCTTACATGCTTTGCAACTGCATAGATCACAGAGGGCTTTTTTTACCTTATACAGTATTAGCCCCCTAAAACAAACTCATCTTGCCAGACCACAATACATCTGCATCTTGAGCCTGCAGATGTTGCTACAGATGCTTCTCTTTAAGCCTAAGAAGCGCAAGGGAAAACAAAACATGGAACCAAGGACGAAATGTTTGAGCTGAAGGATTTAGGGATAGGTAGGTAGAGAGATTTTGAGAAATACCTGGTGGTTGTTGGGTTGGGATACTTGACTGTAAGTAGTCCTCGACTTAACAACAGTTCATTTAGTGACCGTTCAAAGTTACAACGGCACTTCAAAAAGTCACTTATGGCCCTTCTTCAAGCATACAACTGTTGCAGCATCCTCTATGTCACCACCTTAACAACTGCAGTGATTCCCTTAACAGGTGGGGCAAGAAAGGTTGTAAAAGGGAGCGAAATTCACTTAACAACAGACATTTTGTGCTCAATTGTGGTCATTAGCTGAGGACTACCTTTATTGGAGACAATAGGCATAGTAAATATTCATTTTTTTAAAAAAATATTATTATTACCAAAACTGAATTACAGGGGGAAACACCAGTTATTCAATTTATCTATCACATACCAGATCTAAATTTTATTGAATTCTCTCTTGCTTTAGAATTCTTCCCAATAAATGGGTCTTCTGCACTTCCTTTTTCATGGAACTCTGCATGAAAATATTTTAAATTCAGCCCATAATTCAGAAGCATGCCCTGTTTTTGAAATTTTGCATTTTTCGGTATTGAAATATTAATGTTTAAAATGTTAAATCCTTGGAGCCTATAAAGCAACTTCCAATATGCACAATGTTGCTTAATCACTGTTAAGTCCCAACCACTGTATGCACTGATGTTTCAGTAGTATTACAAAACCTTTTGTATCAGTTGGAAAGGAGTCTATAAAAATAACAATAATGGCTGGCAATAATTTTACAGGTCTTGTAGTACCTAATCAAGAATTGGGTTTTTTGTTAAATAGGTATCATCATCCTCTTTTAACAACCCCATAATCCCTTGCGGGGTGGAGTCTGGGCAACTGAATGGAGCTGAATGTTTACTGGCCAGATGCCCTTCCTGTCGCCAATGCAGAGTTATATTCAGCAGATATTTCTCTCTCTGGGCACACTGAGAAGATCTGCCTCTGCCTGGGATTGAACTCACAGCCTCCTGATTGTGAGGCGAGAGTTCCACATCTAGGCCAACACACCACTTTTGTTAAATAGATATATATGGTATCATATCATAAAAGTGCTAACATTTATGAGGTTTCATGTCTGCTGGGAAAGCTGAACTTTTAGATTAACCTCGGGGGGGGGGGAGTTATATTTTAAATTGCTGTTTTGCGTCCTTTTCATGATAATTTTTCTTGCACTTTTTAAAAAACTTCAGCGGATCCTACGGTGAAAGACCTGATTGGCGGCTTCACTGCTCTACATTACGCAGCTATGCATGGCCGAGCCCGGATCGCACGCCTAATGCTGGAATCCGACTACCGTGTTGATATTATTAATGCAAAAAGCAACGACGGTTGGACTCCCCTGCACGTGGCAGCTCATTATGGAAGAGACTCCTTTGTCCGACTCTTGCTGGAGTTCAAGGCTGAAGTCGACCCGCTGAGTGACAAAGGTACTACACCACTTCAGCTTGCCATTATCCGCGAACGGTCCAGCTGTGTCAAAATCCTCCTAGATCACAACGCCAATATTGACATTCAAAATGGCTTTCTGTTACGCTACGCTGTGATCAAAAGCAATCACACTTATTGCCGGATGTTCCTTCAGAGAGGAGCGGATACGAACTTGGGGCGCTTAGAAGATGGACAGACGCCGTTGCACTTGTCTGCTCTTAGGGATGATGTACTTTGTGCGCAGATGTTGTACAATTATGGCGCGGATACCAACACAAGGAACTATGAAGGACAGACTCCGTTGGCGGTTTCAATAAGCATATCTGGAGGTAGCCGGCCTTGTTTGGATTTCTTACAGGAAGTAACAAGTATGTATAGTGGAAATCTTTTATCAAAATTTGCAGTAGATTGGGAGAGGGGGTGGCAGTTTTAAGTAGTCTTTGACTTACAACACAATTGAGACCAAGATTTCTGTTGCTAAGTGAGACATTTGATGAGTGAATTTTAATGACATATGACAATGGTCAACAGTCCGACTAGCGAACCCAACAAAAGGAACCCTCGGGGTCATTGAATCCCAAAAAGTAAAAACATCTCAGAACTGAGTCCCTTCGGGGAATAGGGCGGCCTACAAATTGAATAAACTCCAAACTCCAACTGAAGAAGCAAAATCAGCTCTGGTTTTCCCGCCCGAAATCTTGCTTAGTTAAACAATAGATTCCCTTTCTCCCATTCCTTGGGTATTTGTTGCAAAACTTTTTGTTGTTGTTGTTATGGGAACAGCCCTTTTCTACATCCAGCAACTTCAGTAGTGACCTTGGCATTTTGCAGCCTTTCACAGTCCATGAATTATGTCTTGGCATCCCATTTTCTCCCCACCCATTCCATCCCTCCCCCCTTTTCATTGGCAAGTTGAAAAGCAATAGAAGCTGGAAGGCAATAAAGCGATTCAATCTTGACAATAATGCAATGAGCCCAGCAATCAGATAAATGAATCTCCCTTAATGTTTAAAATAATCCTGTTTCCAATCCTCTTTGGGTCCCTTAACATATACCTTAAAAATATTCCAAATTTATATAATAAGTATATTAAATAGATAATAATATTTCAAATAAAAATGTTCCAAACTTATAAGAGGAAGCAATCAATAATCATCCATTATTATTGTGCCACCAATAATAGGTGTGGCACAGTGACTCGGTGGTTTAAAAGACACCGGAGAAGGTCTGTGCTCCAGCAGGTTGAGACCTACCACTGCACGACAGAGTGAGCTCCCCTCACTTTACTTCGCTCCAGCCAACTTAGCAGTTTGAAAGCGCAAGTAGATAAATAGGTACAACTTTGGTGGGAAGGTGACAGTGTTCTGTGTTTCGCCTTATGCTTGACACTGCAGTGTAATGTCGTGCTGGCTACATGACCATGGAAACATGCCCGGACAGTGCTGGCTCGATGGCTCAAAGAAACAGAGATGAGCATGGCTTCCTAAAGTCAGCTATGTTTAGCCGAGTAAAACCACCAAGGACTCCTTTAACTTTACTTTTACTAATAATAAGACTTATTGCCAGAGCAAGTTTCATCAAATAAATTTTCTTTCCAGCAGGCTCAGGCTCCTCTTTATTCGTGGTTTCTGCTTTTCAATATTTTGAAATGATTAATCCTGTTGGAAGGATAATAAAAGGTTGGTTGGTAAGGCTCCCCCTCGCACATATGTGCTACTCGTCCCCGACTCTATGGGGCGGTGCTCATCTCCATTTCAAAGCCGAAGAGCCAGCGCTGTCCGAAGACATCTCCCTGGTCATGTGGCCGGCATGACTATATGCCAAAGGCACACGGAGCATTGTTACCTTCCCACCAAAGGTGGTCTCTATTTTTCTACTTGCATTTTTTACATAGTTTCGAACTGCTAGGTTGGCAGAAGCTGGGACAAGTAATGGGAGCTCACTCAGTTATGTGACGCTAGGGATTCGAACTGCTAAACTGCTGACCTTTTGGTCGACAAGCTCAGCGTCTTAGCCATTGAGCCACCATGTCCCATATAATAAAATGAAATGTAGGAGAAACAGCAGGGCCTGTAACCAGACCTTACCCTTCCAGTCAGCCTGTGATCGCATACTTTGTGCAATGATGCCATCCTCCTATCTTACCGATTAAAATGTCAGGCATAACAAAACGCAGTTTGTCCCATATTTCCAGACTTGGTTGAACACGGCCAAATTAGGTTACGTAGGGGGGAAAAAAAGATTATAAATAGGTTTTGTTCAATGTTTTGTTCATTATCCAAGTAATCAGAATTAACATGATCATTTAGGTGAATCAGAGATAAAAATCTTGCTAGCACAAGTGTAAAATCAGGCATTGGTTTTAGCAGCCCAGGTTTCTCCTGTATAGTCTTCATTTTCTCATTTCTTCACTAACCTTGATTTTTACAATGTTTCACAGTTTACTGATAGACATAAATTTATAAACCTCCCTGTGTCATGTAAGAAACAATGTAACTCACTTCTTTTATGTGGAAAAAATCCAACTTTTTAGTTTGGGTTAACCTGACACATTACTCCCTCTCTCTGTGTGTTTAGTAGTTTAAAATTGTTTAATGAGCTGCTTATAGAGCTTTTTGCTTGTTTTCTGCTGTTAAAAATTTGGAGAAAAATGAAATCATGTGTAAAAAAAATTATATTTGTAGGATCTCTGGTCAGCACCACATGTACCTGGTTGTTATTAATACTATATAAAGTTCCAAATCATTTTGCATTCCTTTCTTTTTTTTTAATACGGGAAAAAAGATTGTTGTATATGCATGCAAGATTGCCCTTGAAAGTGCAACTTCGCTCTAGGGAAACGTAGCATTTGAGCTAAGAAATGTTTTGGGAGGAAAAGCAGCGTGTTTCCGTTTGTGCTGATTGAAAGTTCTAGGAATTTTACTCAGCAAATCTGGAAAATGCCAGATTGGAAAGATCTCCATGTGGTTTATTGAAACCACACATTCACTTTTAATTTAGAAACTTGAAGCATTTTTCTCCTTTGTTTTCAACTAAGCAGTGCATTTTTCTGGCTATTTTAATCTTTGGGATTTGGAAGGAAATAATTTTGGGGCTACATGCAGTATTCAGTGATCGGTAACACATTTTTAGGCTTATGCTTTCTGTTCTGTGGCTAAATTTTCTCAAATCTTTTTTTCTGCAGATTTTCTTCCTATTTCTCCAGAATTTACTGATTTCATATTCAGCACCATTCTGTATTTTGTATCAGGTTTGCTTTTTGTTTTGTGTTTTGCCGCACATATAAACCTATTTTTAAAAAGTGGTTGATTTCTGGCATCTAAATCTACATATATTCAGATTTCTTAATTTAATGAAACAAGCACCTCCAGATTATAAATTGAATTTTGTATTGTTGGAGGCAATGACTGATATTAAGGTGAATATTACAAATATAGCCACTGTTAGGTGTGAATATATGCTCTAGCTTTGCTATTTCCATAAAAGTCATGGAAGATATATTTAGAGCAGGAAAAATCTGTTTCATTAGTGGAAGCATTCTGCATATAGAATAATATCTTAAATTCCCCATTAGTTTCCTAATTAACAGAATAACAAGAGTTGGAAGGGATCTTGGAGGTCTTCTAGTACAAATCTTGAACCACAAAGAATTACAGGTAGTCCTCAACTTATACCCACAATTGAGCCCAACATTTCTGTTGTTAAGTGAGAAATTTGTTCAGTGAGCTTTGCCCCATTTTACGTCTTTTCTTACCACCTTTGTTAAACGAATCACTGCAGTTCTTAAATTAGTCACACAGTGTTGTTCAGTGAATCTGGTTGACTTTGCCTCTCAGAAGGCCTCAAAAAGGCATCTTATGACGACTCTGGGATAACTCAAACAGTTTCTACACACTGTAATTGCCAATTCCCTATTCATTAATACAGCACTCTGGACAGTCTCCTCCTCAGATTAACAGAGTTGAAAGGGACCTTGTAGGTCATCTAGTCCAACAAGACTCTGAAAACCATCATAAATGTCAGAGTTGTCAAGCATCCCAATGTAAATCACGTGACTATGGGGATGCTGCAGTAGTCATGAGTGTGAAAAATGGTCATGTCAGTTTTTTCTGCACCATTGTAACTTCGAAGGATCACTAAGTAAACTGTAAGTCGAGAACTACCTGTATTTAATAAACTATTCTCTTTCCTGTGCTAGCTAGTTGCTAAAATTATCAAATCATAGAGCTAAAGCAAAAACTAACCTATAAAATGAGATACCAGCTTGAAGCTTTTTGGGGGGGGGTCAATGCCTAATAAAGAGGAGCTTTTTGAGATGACACTCATTTCATTTAATCACTTTTTTGGCCTTCCTTCTTTAATCTTAAACATTACATTTTTTTTAATGCAGCGTTCTTAGTTTAGTTTAAAACTAAAAAAAAAAAGTTTTAAAGATATTTTCCAGAATGAATGGAGTTAAGCCAACAATGGCAAAACTCTAGTTTTATGAAAAGATTAAAAGAGTCAAATGTTTCTAATAACATTTAGAAACAACATTCAGTATATCTTGGGCACAGCTAAAGTTGATTATTTAGTCTTCTTTATTTCGCCGGTCTGTGATGGATCATAAACTTAATACCGAACCATCATTTATGAGCTACACCATTGTCTTCGCTTCAAACATTCAAAGTACTGTGGGGATAAATGTTTTCCCCCCAAATATTTGGATAATGGCATTGTCAAGCACAGGAAATCAGGAGTCCAAGAAGTTCAAATGAATATAGATTTATTGTAAGCTAGAGGTCTCTACAAGAATCTGAACTACTAAAGGTCGCAGCAAATTGATGATAGATAAGGGTCAACAGAATTCAAGGTGGGCTGACTTAGATCTTTTGTGGTCATGAAGGGATTCCAGACTGATGCCGTGCTTGACTCTTCCCTCATTTTCAACCTGGTCTTCTTCTACAGTAGGGGTGTCAAACTTGATTTCATTGAGGGCTGCATCAGGGATGTATTTTACCTCAGGGCGGCATGGGGCGTGGTCAGCTCGACGTCTCTTATCGAGGTTCTGTTTTTGACCGCAATGGACTCCTGCAGCCCTCTGTCAGATGGCTGCAGGAGAACATTGCCGCCAAAAACGGAGCCTGGGAGGGCTGCACTCTGTTTTCACTGGCAGAGGTACTGTGGGACGGTCCTTCGCTGTTTCCAGGGCCTTCCTGCGGGCCAGATCTAAGTACCCTTGAGTTTGACACCCCATAGGCACTCCTCCATTAGTGCATTTTCAACTGAGCTTTTAATGTGTGCTTTCCATATTCAAAAGTTGAATACTGGTGAAACAATTTACATATATTAATATACGTGTGTGTGTATCTATCTATCTATCTATCTA